CCCCGCGGGTCTCCTGAGTTTCCCCGTTGTGTGTAGGGAGCAGAGTAACACGGAGACGGTCACTTAATTTAGAGGATGTAGAGGGAAGGGTTGGGCGCCACAGCGGCCGGGCCGGACACCGGGGCAGGAGTGGGAAGCCTCAGCCTGCCGCGCCCCTGTCGTTGCTCAGAGCCACTCTCATTAGCATTCTGAGAAGGGAAGGCACATGACAACATTTCCTAGCATCGGTGTCTAAAACAGGTTATGGGCTCTATGTTGTTAGTACTCCCAAAGGTACGTATTCCGTTTTCTTAAATTCCCTTTACAGAAGCCTAATTGTATGGTTTTGATTTCAGGTTGTAAACATTGAAAGTCTGCAGCGGCAGCTCCTGGTTCTGCCAGTTCTCTCTCACTGTCATGTAATCAACTAACTTTGTATGTGGATTTCAGTGTAAAGTATGCATGTTACTTTGGTGTGTATTTAATCATGAAATTTAATTTTGCACTTATTTGTAATGTTTCTTTTAAATAAAAGTGACTAATTTTGTTGTACTCTGTAAAAAAAAAAAAAACAGAGATGCCTGGGTGGCTGAGTCGTTAAGCGTCTGCCTTCGGCTCAGGTCATGATCTCAGGGTCCTGGGATCAAGCCCTGCATCCAGCTCCCTGCTCAGCGGAGAGTCTGCTTCTCCCTCTCCCTCTGCCTGCCACTCTGCCTACCTGTGCTCTCTAGCTCTCTGTCAAATAAATAAAATCTTTAAAACAAAACAAACAAACAAAACAAAATTGGCAAGCTATTTCCTGCCATCCTCTCCCTCCTCAGGCAAGATAATTTGAGACTCTTAAACAATTCACCCTTTGATGCTTGTTGAGCCCAAATCATTTTATAAACTACCCCTCACAGTAAGTAGAACATTCAAGGTTAAAGAGGACTTAACAGTAAGGCCCTGATTATTATCTTAGCCAAATCAACGTGGAGCAGATAGTTCTCCAGTTTGTGACTTGGAACCTGGAAAAACTAATCAGAAGTATCACACGAGACCAACATGTTCCTGAAAAAGGTAGTCATTCTCTATAAGCTGCCAGCCAAATTCATGTTGTTCTCTGGGTTATCACTGATTCAGGTCAATGCCCTGAAGGTATTCAAGGAGGAGGCAAAGCTGCCCCTAAGACCTCAGGTTACTGCTAATCTGCTCCAACTCATGGGAACCGAGGTCAGCTTCTCTGAGTACACTGGGGTGAGGACTGATGCGCACCATGTTGGCAGAAGTGAAAGGGTCACAGAACTGTCAGTTACATAAATCTAGAGAGATCTCTGGACAATTTAGAAATGCAACACCCACACATACTTCCAACATTATAAAGAATCTCCCCACTGTAAAAGATTCAAATCAGTCAAGTGGCTCCTCAAAGAGTTTCCACCAGGGGCGCCTGGGTGGCTCAGTCGTTAAGCATCTGCCTTCGGCTCAGGTCATGATCCCGGGGTCCTGGGATCGAGCCCCGCAACAGGCTCCCTGCTCGGCGGGAAGCCTGCTTCTCCCTCTCCCACTCCCCCTTCTTGTGTTCCCTCTCTTGCTGTGTCTGTCAAATAAATAACTAAAATCTTAAAAAAAAAAAAAAGTTTCCACCAGTGGCATTACACTGAATAAGGAAATCGCATATTCATTATACAACCATGCCTTTCTCTAGTGTGAACTCTCCAATGTTGAGAGAGGTTAGATTTTCCCCTAAAAGATTTCCCACATTCACTGCACTCATAAGGTCGTTCTCCAGTGTGAACCCTGTGATGATAAGAAAGAGCAGTACGAGTGATAAAAGATTTCCCACATTCACTGCATTCATGAGGCCTTTCTCCAGTGTGAACTCTGTGATGATAATGGAGGGCAGTACTACTTATAAAAGATTTCCCACACTCACTGCATTCATAAGGCCTTTCTCCTGTGTGAATTCTCTGATGATAATGGAAGCTGGAACTAAAAGTAAAAGATTTCCCACACTGGTTGCATTTGTAAGGGCTTCCTCCATTATGAATTCTCTGGTGTATTGAGAGTGAATGTTTTTGTCTAAAGGATTTCCCACATTCACTGCACTCATAAGGCCTCTCTCCTGTGTGACCTCTGTAATGATACCTGAGCGCAGAGCTAGAAGTAAAAGATTTCCCACACTCACTGCATTCATAAGGTCTTTCTCCTCTGTGGGATCTCTGATGATAACTGAGGGCAGAGCGAGAGGTAAAAGATTTCCCACATTCACTGCACTCAAAAGGTTTTTCTCCAGAATGAACTCTATGATGATACTGGAGTTCATACCTACAAATAAAAGATTTCCCACATTCATTACACGCATAAAACCTTTCACTTGAATGAACCTTTAGGTGCATATTGAGGCTATTTCTTCGGGTAAAGGACTTACCACATTCACTGCACTCATGAGGCCTTTCTCCAGTGTGAACTCTGCGATGATACTGAAGAGCACTATGAGTGCTAAAAGATTTCCCACATTCGCGGCACTCATGAGGCCTTTCTCCAGTGTGAACTCTGTGATGATAATGGAGGGCAGTACTACTTATAAAAGATTTCCCACACTCACTGCACTCGTAAGGCCTTTCTCCTGTGTGAATTCTCTCATGATAATGGAAACTGGAACTACAAGAAAAAGATTTCCCACATTTGTTGCATTTGTAAGGGTTTCCTCTACTATGAATTTTCTGGTGTATTGAGAGGGAATGTTTTTGTCTAAAGGATTTCCCACATTCACTGCACTCATAAGGCCTCTCTCCTGTGTGACCTCTGTGATGATACCTGAGTGCAGAGCTAGAAGTAAAAGATTTTCCACACTCACTGCATTCATAAGGCCTTTCTCCTCTGTGTGATCTCTGATGATAACTGAGGGCAGAGCGATAGGTAAAAGATTTCCCACATTCACTGCACTCAAAAGGTTTTTCTCCAGAGTGACTTCTATGATGATACTGGAGTTCATACCTACAAATAAAAGATTTCCCACATTCACTACACTCATAAGGCCTTTCACCTGAGTGAACCTTTAGGTGCATATTGAGTCTATGTCTTCGGGTAAAGGACTTGCCACATTCACTGCACTCATAAGGCCTTTCTCCAGTGTGAACTCTGTGGTGATAATGGAGAGTAGTATGAGTGCTAAAAGATCTCCCACATTCACTGCACACAAAGGACTGTCTTCCAAGGTGGACACCCTGGTCCTGAATATGTGTGTGTTTGGGACTAAAAGCGTTCTTGCATTCTCCCCAGGTGTCATGACTTTTTCTGCTTTGTAAAGTTGCCCTGCACTGGGTGATTTCCTTTGGATTCTCTCCAGTATGAGTGGCCTCTTGCTGCAGATGCCCTGAGCCAGACAGGAAGTCCTTCTGAACTTCTCCACAAGTAAAGGGCTTTCCTGAACCATGGAATCCCCAGCTCTTCACAACAGAGGCCCTGTCCACACGGCTTCTGAAGGGTTCTGCTCCCATGTGCTGCTCCTGCTGCTGCTGAGACTTTACACTGAAATAAAATCGTTTCCCACAGGCCCCACACCTCAACAGTTTCTGGCTGTTTTCTTTTCCCTGGTGCGCAGCCAAGTAGAAAATGTCTCTCAAGACTGGACCACACATCTCACAGGGGTGGGTCTTCCGGGAAGACTGAGCTGCCTTGGGCGTCCTGGTCTGTGACACGCCTACAGAAGTGCTCTGGGCAAAGGGTGCCTCCTCATCCTCTGCTCCACAGCAACAACCTGAAGGCAAAGAAGCGCTGGTGAAATGTGTGTTGACTATAGCGAGGGGGTGAGCCCATCACATACATCATCTGTCCTCCCTGGGCACAAGTTTATAGCATGCTTTTCCAGACACTGGAGATGAAATTCAATTGAAGGAGTGGCCACTGTGCATTACTGGGCCCCTAAGGTCAAAGTATGGTGGAGAGCACACTAGCCAGAAGGAAGAGAGGCAAGCTCTACAACTTGTTCTCTGCCCACAGCTTCATGTTGGCCCGTTTCTTGGCTGAGTAGAAGGCTGTGGGAAAATCCACTCACAAGAAATTTGCTGCTGTTCAAGGTCAGTTTAAGTATATGTCAACATCTCACGGCAAACAGGGCAAGTGTGGATGCCAAAGTACACAGAAAGAGCAGTGAGAGAAACGGGTGAGATGTAGAGGCCTGAGAAGCACCGATTACTCCTGCACTGCAAGTCATGTAATTACAAAAGGAGTAGAATCCAGAAGTCCACAAATTGTCAACAGTGAAGAAGGAAAGACAGAAACGGGGTGTGGCCATCGGCAATCACACCGAACTCTGGTTGAACAAACAAAGGTGCCCAGTATGATCTGAACACAGGCCTGATATCACACCTTTCCCAGCTGCCATTCATGAGAAACAGGGCCCCTGTGAGCTCACCTGTTCATGCCCAGAGCATGTCCATACTATGATACCCAAAGGACTCTTCCCTGTAAGCCCTCCTGAGCAACTACAGGGTACCAAGAGGATAGAAATAATGCAGGAAAAGTGTGCCTGGGTGGCTCCGTCAGTTGGGCATCTGACCCTTGATCACAGATCAGGTCTTGATCACAGGGTCATGAGTTCAAGCACTGTGTTGGACTCCATACTGGGTATGGATCCTACTTAAGAAAAGAAAGGAAAGAAGAAAAAGAAAAGGGCAAGGAAAGGGCAAAGGAAAGGAAGGGAAAGGAAAAGGAAAGACAAGGAAAGAAATATTGGAGGAAAACAGGCCAAGTGGATGGCCAGCACTGTCCCAGAGCTACTCAGGATACAAAGCACCCAGACAAGCATCCTATGTGACTGATGTCAGCAGAATGGTAGAATAGGAGATACCATCCTTCACCCCAACAAAAATGAATTCAAGAGCTGTCCATAAATGACATTAGCTGCAGAGGGCTCAAAAATCCAATTAAGGCCAATTACTACACAGTGGAGCATAGAGGAGAGTGCAAGCATGCAGAAAGGACAGCTGGAGACTTTACTGGCGGAGATGTGGGGATGGGGCAGAAATAAGGGCTGGACTGATCTCTACCACTCACACAAGGCAGGTGCTACAGCAGTCCCTGCTCAGCAGACTCCAGCTGCCTGCCTCACAGCAGACACTGGCATCTTTTGCCACCGAGTTAAACAACATGCATCACTATCATGGACTCAGTGAATATAAAGCTACTGTGTCCTGCTCCCCCCACTCAGGAGCTGCTGTTGTGCAGCTCCAGGACAAGGACTACAACTGCCCCCCAACCCTGTGCATTTCCTGGGCCCCAGATCTGCGCCTATGTGTGCCAGCATTCCAGACCTTGACCCCCCGCTGCATCAGGTCCACCTGTGTCTTCCAGGAAATGGAAATATTCTCCAGATAGGCTAGCCAGGTGCCAGGACCTCACAGCCACTGTATGTCCATGCACACGCAGACACAAACTTCCTGGCTGCTTGGGGTGTGGCTGCAACTCACAAAGCAAACTAACACCACTGAGGTGTAATCAGCGTCCCAGGGCCAAAGCTGCTGTCACTCTGAAAGTGCCCGCACACCAGACCCTCTTCCATGGCTACTCCATGAGTGCCAGCCCATCAGACACCAGGGCCACTGCCACCACCCACAGGGTGCCTAAAAGTCAGACTCAGCACCGACATCAACTCTGCCACAATACTCTCCATGGAAAAAAAGCCATCAGGTGCTCCTCAGCAGTCTTCTCCACTGCTTTGGATACTACAGCCTCGACCATCCTGCTGTCTCTTCCCCGATGCCTTCGCTGATGCTGACAGGTGACAGAGCTGCACAGAGAGTTTATCACTGGGCCTTCCCCAGATCCAGAACGGCCACACCCCACGAAGCTGACACCCTTGCACCCACCTGTAGGTGAAGGACTCTCCTGACCAAAAGTACCACAAAGTCTGGAAGAAGTGACCACACCATCAAATGTGCAAACATCAATGCAAGGATGTAAGAAACAAAATATCAAGGAAACATAACACCATTAAAGAAATACAATAATTTATCAGAAAACACACCCAAGGAAATGGAGATATGCGATCGGACAAAATTCTTTCTTTCTTTTTTTTTTTTAAAGGAAACCACTTTTCTTTTTTTTTTTTTTAAGATTTTATTTATTTATTTGAGAGAAAGAATGAGAGAGAGAGAGCATGAGAGGGGGAGGGTCAGAGGGAGAAGCAGACTCCCCGCCGAGGAGGGAGCCCAATGCGGGACTCGATCCCGGGACTCCAGGATCATGACCTGAGCCAAAGGCAGTTGCTTAACCAACTGAGCCACCCAGGCGCCCTATTGGACAAAATTCAAAATAATTGTTTTAACAAAGTTTAGTGAGCTACAAGAAAACACAGGTAGACGATTCAACAAGATACACAATAAAATAAGCTGTTCAACAAAGATATAGAAATCATAAAAAGGAACAAAATGGGTTGGCCAAGGATGCAGTGAGGTGTAGTCACTGGTGGCCACTGGTAGTCTGAGTGGAGTGAGGAGTAGACTCACCTGAGAGTTGCATGTTATAGGCACACCTTCATCCAGATGCCCACAGGTGCCTGCCCCCACTGAGGTCATAGACATTGGCAGAGAGGAACAACAGGGTGGAGAATCACACCACACTTTATACTAGCAATACAGGAGAGTTCCTGGTGTGCCACTCTCCAAAAGGAGGGTCAGATATAAGCACTGAAAACTGAATCAATAGTTGGTAATAGTCCACCTAATCACCGATAGGACTCCTAATGAGACCACAGGCAGCTGGGAAGACATCAAAATATGAGGAAATGGAGCAGTACTAGATCATAATATATACTTATACAACACTAAATCCTCTTAATACCACCTACTTTTTAAGAACAAGGATGGCATATAATGTGTGGGAGAGAAGAATGTTTCTGTCTTTCTATATAGACTATCCTTAATGAACTGGTCTTTGTAGCAGAACTGTTCTACTCATTCTTCGTGTTAGAGAACGTCCCACAGGGCTGCACCAGCACAACCAGTCTGTGCTTTTACAGTCTCTTCTTATCAATTACCAGAGTGATCTATGTGACCTTCCACCACTGGACTTGCATGGGTGGGTATTAAACTCTTCAGGCATAATTAAACCAACCAGAAACAAGATGGTATATGTACTCGTTTTGTCTTAGGTGTCTAGCTCTGAAATATCAACTAGATGGAAATACTGGAGACCCATTTAATTTGCAGCAAAGATGCTTTGCTTTGCTTCTGTTAAAGGATTAGGGCTTTGGGAGGCTTAACTGCAGAAGTTTAGTTTATTGTACTCTTGTACTGCCCTTGTTTTTTGAATATTCCAACTTATAACTGTTGCATCAGAAGAAACATTTCAACAAAGTGTCCTTTGGATATTAACAACTGCAATCATCTGATGACTTTCTTATCCTCTAACTAAAAGTTACTCATTTGAGATGTTGTTTGTTTAGAATCAAGGTCCTTTGTATATTTACATGTTACAGGTGATGGAAATCATTCCAAAGGGGCTATTTTAGAATACATGTAGGGGCACCTGGGTGGCTCAGTGGGTAAGTGTCTGATTTCCGCTCAGGTCATGATACTAGAGTCCTGGGATCAAGCCCCTCATGGGGCTCTGTGCTCGGTGGACAGTCTGCTTCTCTCTCTCCCTCTGCCCCTCCCCTCTGCTTGTGCTCGCACGTGCTTTCTCTCAGATAAATAAAATCTTAAGAAGAGAGAAAGAATACGTGTAGAGAAATGCTTTGAAGTAGTGTGATATAAACTATACGATAAAATGGAAATTTCATATATTCACAAAAATTCTGAATTGGTAAAAATTAACTTAATCTCTGGTATTAAATGTTTACATTAAAATAAGATGGTGACACTGTCCCATTAAAAAAATGCGGGGAAAAGAGAAAGAGTCCAAGATGGCGGAGGAGTAGGAGACCTTAGTTCTGTCTGGTCCCAGGAATTTGGCTAGATAGCTATCAAATTATTCTGAATACCTGTGAACTCAACGGGAGACCTAAGAAAAGAATTGCTGCATGTCTACAAATAGAAAAGCAACCACTTTCTGAAAGGTAGGAGGTGTGGAGAAGTGAATTCAAGGTGATATATCAGAAGATAAACCACAGGGGTAGGGAGCCTCTGGAAGTCGGCCACTGGAAAGTGATACACCAGCAGAATGCAAAATCAGAACTTTTAGAAGGCTGTTCCAGTGAGGTATGTCCCTGCCTGAAAGGTGCTCAGGTAGCAAGCAAGGAAGAATACTAGGTGGGACAGTGTGGTCTCAGGATCCTTGGGGTCACAGAAAGAACAGAGGTGCCTGAGTGCTGCAGAGTCCCCAGACATTGGAGCGAGGAATCCGGCTGCAATCAGGGAGCCCAAGAGTGGGGACTCAGCTCAGTGTTGCCATAAACCATGAACTGCCACACAGTAGGGCAACCACTCTCCAAGCAGGGGCTCAGCAAGCGTCAGAGCCCTGGCGAGATCCCTCTTCCGCATGCGCACTGCAGGGGTCTACAGGGTTTGGAGACTCCCAGGGTCCCAAACGCTTCGTCACAGGCTGGGTGAGCCACGGAGTACGGCCAGAGACCAGGGAGCCAGGAGTGACTGCCTGCATTTCCCTGAGGGTGCACTGAGGGAGTGGGGGGCGTGAGGTTCTGGCTCTGGGCCTGGAGACTGGGAGGCCGCCATTTTTGTTATCATCTGCTTAAGCTGCAGGGAAAGCCTTCAGGGAACAAAAGCCATATATAGCAATCCAGAGCCCCTTACTTAGCTG